CTTTAGAGGCCTCTTAGCGCTCTTGGTTATCTATTACTGCCTTGTTTAAATACGCAGCCAAGAATTACTATTATAGTCGTAATAATAGCAGATACGTTATCAATTTCCATCTTGAAACCCATTTTTGCTTCTTCTTCTTCTTTGCACGATAGCTTTTTGTCGGATAGTTCTTTATAGGATAGCTCGTTGGATGGCTCGTTGGATAGCTCGTTGGATGGCTTGTTGGATAGCTTGTTGGATAGCTTATTGGATGGCTTGTTAGATGGCTTATTGGATGGCTTATTAGATGGCTTATTAGATAGCTGAGGCTTTAAGTGTGCGCAGGTTTAATTAATATATTTAACCTACTCTTCTTTTATAATACTTAAAAATACTTAAAAATACTTAAATATACTTAAATATACTTAAAAATATTTAAAAATATTTAAAAATATACTTTTATTAAAAAAAATAAACTAATATATTTTTATATACTTATATATTTTTAAAATCTTAATTACTTATTATTAGCTAGAACCCTGGTCCGTTACAAAAATTAGACCTGCGCACATTCAAAGGGACACGCAGCGCACTTTGACGCAAGTCTTTGTGACTGTGTGGGCTATGATGTTCTCGTATGGGCGCATCCATGTCTTATCATTGTCACCAATCATGTCTGGTCTACGCTTGGTCGTGCTGTAGTATCGGGAGTAGCCAAGTGCCGGAGACTTGCCCTTGGGTAGAGTCGTGGCAGCCGGCTTGGCTTCCCTGTGAAAGAGCCGGCCTCGTCACATCTCGTGCCCTCGGAACCGATGAGACGAAGTGAGTAGATGACAACAGAATAGTCGTCTCGATGGTGAGCACAGAGGGAGGCAATCGTTGGCGTAACCCTGATATTCTTCCCCTTGCCGAATCCAGTACGCGCACTAGCGACAGCAGAAACGCAGAGCTGCTCTACGTCTCTTGGAGATTCTGCAAACCTGAGGCAACTTTCCTTCCTTGGTTACCTTGACTTGACCCCGTCTACGGATACCCGTCAGCGACTAAGTGGACGAGCCACTTGGTCGACTTACTAGTTGCCAACGGGTACAATGCCGGCAGCAATTCGAGACGAGTCAACGACTACGGGTGTGGCGTTTGGGGTTGCGGGGTTTGGGCATGGATTCATGCTGCTGTTTCGACCGCGTATACGAGAGTGGCTAACATATAACATCACCCGCCCCTGGCTTTGGACTGACTCGGGGGCAAGCATGTCTGTCTAAAACACAGTGCTCGGCCTGATGACCGGACGTTGATGGGCTTGTAGAGGCGAATGGACCACCTTGACAGTTCACTTCTGAGAGTAGTCCATGACACACGCACCAGACATCAGTAAAAGACAAGACCAGTAGGTCGGTCCCTTCACTTCAAGCTATCCGCAAAGTCCTGCACGGTGTCTTGGAAAGGCTGGTCGGACACAAACCCCAACCGCAATGCCTTTGCATCGTCAAATTGCGTCGGCCAACTGTCCAATATGGCTCTGATGGCCGCGGTGGGTTCTTCCCTCCGCACCAGCCTGACAGCCTCGTCGCCGCCAACATTGCGCAATGCCTGAAGCATCTCCCGTACGGTGACAGCGATCCCCGGGAGCAGGACTTGCCGGATATGCGGAGGCATGCAGTCCGCCGGGAGGGTCAGAGCAATGGTGAGATTCTTGACGAGACTTCTCGGCGAGCACACCCAGCACTTGAAGTCGTCCCCGCACGGAATGGTCGTCTCCAGACCCTGGAGCGGCTCGCGGATGATGCCGCTCATCCAGCTGCTCGCCGCCTGGGTGGGCTTTCCGCCTCGGACAGATATGCCAGCAAGTCGGAGGGCAAATGCCGTGATGAAGCCGCGGCGGTTGTAGTCGTTCAGCACGGCCTCGATCATCATCTTGTGCGTCCCGTAGCTCGTCTGGGGCGTGCACACGGTGTCTTCAGAGGGCAAGCTGGGCAGGGGAGAGCCGTAGGCGGCAATGGACGACGTGTATATCACGCGCACGCCGGGGCAGAGCCTTCGCGCAGCCTCGAGCAGCTTCAGCACGCTGTGCAAGTTGACGCGGTAGCCGAGGTCCACGTCTGCTTCGCTCCCTGCGGACATGATGCCGTGCAAAATGTAGATGGCATCCAGATCTTGGCCGATGACGGACTCTGCATCTTCAAACAAGTCGACTTGGACAAGGGTCGCGCGATTCTGGGCACTTTTCGCGCCGGGAGGAACAAGAGGCTCGACAATATCGGCCATGACTACAGAGTGACCTGCATTCAGCAACGCTTCCGACAAGATTTGGCCAATGTAGCCAGCGGCTCCGGTAACAAGAATCTTCATGATGGCGAATGCAGGGCCACGTACGGAGTATTGACGCCTCGAGTGCGGCTTGTCGAGACGGACAGACTGCTGTGTGTTGACTGTTGAGTGAGGGCTGAGATGGGACGAGGGCGCCCCGCCAGGGATCCGAGCCAAGGGATTGGCTGATTGGTGCGGGGCGTATATGCCTTGATTGTAACCGCACAGATGCCAACTTTCTCGACTCATCTTCCCTGGATGGGAAGCCGTTCGATTGTGGTGGCGCCCATGGTCCCGGGTAAAGGCATCTACCTAGGCAGTGGCTGAACTTTGTTTTCTTGCTTCTTTGTTTCTTATCTCTTGTTGTACGGAGTAGTACTCGATGGAATTGTCATTACGAATGGCCAAGCAGTGGCTTGTGCGCCTCCGAGTTTTGAGTTGTGGAACACCGTCGACGGTTTTTGGCGACGCTTCGCTCTCGCCGGTCCGCGGTATTTCGAGCCCGGCCGTCTGGTAGTCATCCTCCCTCTGCCGGCCGCTGCCGGGCGCACCTCGAGGTAGTTGACGGCTTCCGGTGCAGGTGCAACGACATGTGGAGGAGCCATCGCCGTTTGCCAGGGTTCTCCAAAGCAGCAGGACACGAGACCATGGACCTGACATAGTTTGCGGGGAAATTCAGCCATGTACTACCGGGAAGTTGGGAGAGAGGTCAACCGGACTGGTTTGGTTGTATATAAGTGCTACCAAGTGTCCGTCGCAACTCTCGTCCAAGTCAACGCCCTCGCCCTTTCGCCTCCCCCCTTGTGTGAATTCTGAATACGCCTGGAACACGTCGCCTGCCACGTCATGACGGCACCCAAGGACACAGAGCTGGAGCGGGTTGAGCTTGGCTCACTGCCTGGCAAGGTCTCGCTTGACATTGCCCCCGGCGCAAGTGAAGCAGAGAGAGACTTGTTTCGCACATTCGCCAGCCGGGATCCGCAATGGGTTGCTGCCCAGGACAAGAGGCTCGTTCGAAAGATTGACACGCGCATGATGCCCTGTTTAATCGTCATGTACTTGCTCAACTTCCTCGATCGATCCAACCTCGCCCAGGCCCGACAGGGCACTCTGGAAAAGGACCTGCACATGCGAGGAACCGACTTCAACCTGGCCACGTCCATTTTCTTTGTTGGCTATCTGCTGATGCAGCTGCCCTCCAACATCATCATCACTCGCGTCCGCCCTTCCATCTATTTGGCCTCTGCCATTGTTCTTTGGGGCGTCGTGTCTACCTGCAACGCCGCGGCTGGCAGCTTTGTCCACCTCGTCGTCATTCGTTTCTTCCTGGGTGAGCAGCATCCCTCTCTAGTCGCGCATCTTGTGGAACGCATCGTCCAATGGCTAACACGGCGTGTCATGTCTTGGCGCAGGTTTTGCTGAGGCACCCTTCTTTCCCGGCGCCATCTTTCTCATGTCGTCATGGTATACCCGCGCCGAGCTGACGCGCAGAGTGGCCTGGCTCTACACCGGCAATTCACTTGCCAACATGTTTGGAGGGCTCATTTCATTCGGTGTTCTGAGGGACTTGAACGGTGTACATGGAATCGCCGGATGGGTGTGTTTCTATGCGCCCTGCCACAACATTCTGGAACCCTTGGTTGTGCTAACCATCTGGAACAGAGGTGGCTTTTCATAGTCGAGGGTGTGGCTACGATTGGCGTTGGCATCATGTCCGCGTTTATCCTGCCAGACTATCCTCAAACAACTCGCTGGCTGAGCGATGAAGAACGCGCCTTTGCATCCTGGCGGCTCTTGGCCGACATCAACGAGATGGATGACGGCAAATCCACGACAGTCTGGCAAGGCTTGAAGCTGGCGCTCAAAGACTACCGGCTTTATCTTTTTATTCTTCTAGCACACATGAGTCTGTTGTCGCAGACGTTTCAATATTTCTTCCCGAGCATCGTGCAAACCCTGGGATACGACCCTCTGATTACCCTGTTGCTCACGGTTCCAGGTACGTCCCTCCAAAATCCCCAGTCGACCCAACGTGACGATTCTGTATTCTGACTCGTTTCATAGCCTGGTTCGCGACGTTCCTCGTCTCCATCACGGTCAATTGGACCGCAGCCAAGACCGAGGACAAGTCGATTCACATCTTTTGTCTCATGGTCGTGGCGGCGGCCGGAAACGCCATTGCCACCGGCACCACAGCGCCCGGGGCCCGGTTCTTCGCCATGTTCCTGATGCCAATGGGCTCCATCGCTGCGTACACCATCATTGTTGGCTGGGTGGCCAACTCTTTCCCGCGGCCGCTGGTCAAGCGGTCGGCGGCCATTGCCATTGTCAACATGATTGGCAACACGGCCAGTATTTACGGGAGCTACATGTACAACAAGGACCAGGGCCCGCAGTACATTCCGGGCGGGAGTTCCAATGCGGCGATAAGCTTCTTGGTCGGCGTGCTGGCATTGATCTTGCGCTACTTACACAAGTGGGAGAATAGGAAGCTGGAGAGGGCGGAGAACGAGGCGGCGGCAAACGGGACTTTGACAGGGCGAGGTCCGGAGGGATTCAGATATATTTATTAGATGTAGACTTAGGGCGTGACTATGCAGACTGAATACATGAACAACTTCCCATACTACCTGATCATCAAAGCCTATCTCGCAGCACTACATGCTTTCAAGAAGCAGTCTTCCGCCCCTAGCAACATCCATCTGTGTCCAGTATCAGGGACGTTGCCAATTGTTCACCGTGCCCCCAGGCGCGTTGAACATGTCACCAGACCCGCTGTTGTGAAATGAAAAACTGGCATGTTCCCTGGCGCGGCCTTGGTTCATCGGTTGTGATACTTGATGGGTGTCCGGATCCTTGATCCGTTTATACCACCTATCCAGCTCACCCAGCACCCTTCTGTATCCATTATCGTCTGCGGAACTGAACTTTACCATGTCACTGTGGTTGGCGTGAATGCTAAGTGCATGGTAACCTTCGAGAGTGGCCGAGTCTTTAGGGACGACTTCCTTACCGACCACAGGCATGGCAAGCTCTTCAAAGAAGCAGGTGACCTTGATATCACGGCCATTATTCTGCTGCTCCCGTATCATGGACCAGAAATTGTCTTGAACAGACTTCAGGTGACGGTCGTTTGTCTTTAGAACTTGAAGTAGAAAGTTGTTGGTGGACTTGACAGTCCCAAGAGCCCAGGCGGGTATGCTGGCCCAGTCCGCCATCCAAGACCCCCGGTGCGGAGTTCCCATGAACAGGATGCCCTTTGTGCAATGGAACATGGCTTTGAGATGCTCCTCGGGGTTATTCCTGGAGAGCAGTATGGCTTCCTTGCAGATGAGCCCGCCAAGGCTGTGAGCGACGAGGAGCAGCGGCCGAGACGAGGCATTGGACAAGTCTCTGTCTGTCGTCAGGTCGCTCAAGAAGTTCCGAGCATGCTCACTTAGCCCGTTCTGAGATGCGACCGATTTACGCACAAAATACGCGTCGTATCCGTATGTAATGATGCGAGCTTTGCCGAGGTTCTTGGGCAGCAGCGTCTTTGGCCACGGTTCGGACTGGCCACGAGCAGTCCAGGTGCTGTTCCGATTGCCCGTCAACCCGTGAACAAAGCAGATATCGACGAGGGCGTCATGGCAGTCGCGCAGAACTTCTACACCATCCGGAAAGGACTGATCAGGAGCGTTGATAGACGACAGCCTGGAGTCTGCCGAGCCGCCTGAGCGCTCATAGCCGACGACGGCGTTCTGCGCCTCATGGTTTGGCGAATTGCCACTGGGCAAGCGATGGCTTCGCGAAGTACGCTTTGATTAAGAAACCCCATTGAAAATATCGTTCTATTGGGATAAAGAAGATGAGCCAAGGGTGACCTCTAACAAACAGGCCGGCTCATGATATGAGGGACTGCTTGACACAACACGGGGCCGCGCTGGGTCAGGTCAGCAACGGGCTTACTGCCCAACGAGTGCCGGTTACGGTTTTCCATGCAGTGTTTATGTTTCCTCAATTATGGAGTATGTGACAGACATTTTGTATCAGGCTCGGATATGTCAAGCCGTGCTTCACTAGGCATTAGTGCTTACATACATCGCAACACATGCATAATACAAAATATCCTGCCTGGTTGGCGATTGGGTAAGAGTGCATGTCATGTACCAAACATATTCGTCCAGTTTCCTCCGCAAATGCATCTGACCCCAGAGTTGAACGGCCCGATCCTAGCGCACCATGCATTTGTGATGCCAACTCGTCACTGATAACGGTATGTGTACTCTGTATCACAAGACACAATATTGTGACGTGGGCCATGGCCGGCGTTGTGTGATACAACTTGAGGTTCTGTCATTTAATGACAGATGTAAGTCGACGTGTTCATTTACTATGTTGCTACATGGCCGAATCAGACTCGAACAACGGCCCTCTTGCGTCTGCATTGCTCTGCATTATCCACAGCCAGTAAACATCTTTCCGCCTCATATGCCAATTCTGAGGGTCGGCTCTTGGGCATTTATCATAGACTTGTGCAATATGGAGGTATCTTCAGTGATGGCGTTCCCTTTGAGAGACGATGTTGAGGGATGCCACTACCTTGATTGCTCCCCGCGATATACCTGTTGATTTAAAATGATAATTACAGCTGCTACGGTAACAAATTCGTGGGCGTCTAGAATTTTTGCTCCGTAGCTTAGTTGGTAATTGTCCCAACAATACCCGGCCGCTTTACAGCTCGGGATATCCTCATTGTTGAGAAGAGCGGCCCGGATCATACAGTGGGAGACAAAAGTTACTCAACCAGACTAGGTACCCGGCTATCGCGCTCTATACTACCACATTTTACAGTATATTAGTGTATACTTGTTGGTGGGTAAATATATTCCGCCACCATACTCCATACCTCACCACTGGTGAAGACGCCGAGGACCAAATGAACCTCGCCGCATATGATACGCCGTTTACTCTTCTTCTTCTTTCGTTACTCAAGTCTAGGAAATGTGTAACGTTGTACGCTATATGTCTCGGATTTACCTCGCAGCGTGCTCTGTATTTCGCCCAAACACCATGCCTGGGTAACCTCTGCTGTCCAACAATAACGGTGCATAGCAAATAAGAGACCGGGTCTGAAGATACGAATCATGTAACAAAATGTCGCAGTTTTGGCTGCGAGCGGCACAAGCCCAATGTTTCGGTTGGGTTCTGTTACCACACTACATCAACACAGCCTCGTCAGTTCTGAGGCTCTCGCAAACTGGGAGGCCTCTTTTTGAAGCCCAAGTACCAAGATCGCTGCAGGATACAATTGGTGAATGCCATTGGCAGGTGTCACACGGCATATGGGTGCCAACACTCAAAAGACCGTGGCGTGGCCACGCCCATTTTTGGCATCTTTTTGTGTGATAGGAGGAAAGACACACACATCTCGGCTGAGTCGAGCCCCGGTCTAATTCTCCCTTTTCCATTTTTGTTGGTCATCTGTGTGACCGCTGGCATCTTTACTGCTGGCTGACTGGGCTACTCACCGGCTGGTGACGTTTATTAATACCTCACTACCACGAACCTTTGATGCCATGCCAGCCGATTATCCGGAACATGCCATTCGAGACAGAGACACAAGGCTCATAGTGACTGGCTGGAATACCCCACCACCAATTCGCTATCAAGAAGCCAATGGGAGATAAATACAACCCAACCATACAGGCTCGGCGCTGGCTGTGGTCCAGCCCGTGCTACCCATCTGCTTGAGCTAAGCCGGTCTCCCTTGGGCACTGCAATGAATTATTGTTCATTGTACTCCGTATGCAAGGATGTCTCAAAGAGACTGCCAAGTGAGTCTCCTCTCTGCCCGACGTCGGTGCCCGACGGTGTGTGTTCTTTCCACCAGCTTTTAAAGGACAAGGACGCAGTCACTTATTCAAGCAGTTGGCGAAGCGATTCAATGATTTTACATGTCCTAAAGCAACCTTCTGTCTATATACCATACTCTGGTTACCGTTGGTTGCGTGTTCAGTTACAAGAAGCCTCACTTGTCAAAATCGCATACCACTTGGTCGAGTCCCAGCTGCTACGGATTGGCCCAGGCCTCAGGGTGTATCTGAGCAAGGGACTTTCGATAACAGGCTCTTGTTCTTCATCTAAGCTTCACAGGATTACCCAGCCATCGTAAAGGTCATATTCCAACTCCTACTCTGGTCCGATCAGACTCACTAACCTATTCTCAGTCAGCATACCTCTGCGGACAGAGGGTACACGAGGCACACGCAATTTGGGTAGATGATGATCTATGATGAACAATAATAATTTCGGAGACTCGGCGTATGCTCATCAGGGCCCTGGCTATCAGATCAATGCTGCTGGGGGCACGGTGAATAACACCGTGTATAATGGTGAGAATGCCAATAACGGAATGGCTTGCAGTTTCTCAACTAACAAGACTGAGTAGAAAGAAATGGAACCCCGATTCAGGGGAAGGATTGCTGGAAGTCATTGGCTTTTCGAGAAATGGAAAGTCGGTACTACGATATCGATGCTGCCCAGACAGGAACATGCGAGTGGCTATCCCAGCACAAAATGTATAGAGAGTGGGTTGAGAGAAATCGAGGTCTGCTTTGGATCAAGGGCAAACCAGGCTCTGGAAAGTCGACTTTGTTACGGCATGCTCTGGATGACGCAAAGAAAAAACGCAATGTGAAAGAGAATCTCTTGATTCTCTCATTCTTCTTCCACGGCCGTGGTACAGAACTGCAAAGGACGCCAGAAGGCTTTTATAGGTCGCTCCTTCACCAGCTCAGCAAGACTCCTGACGCAGTGTCAGATGTAGTCAGCACTTTCCAAGAGAAGTGCGAGACTTTTGGTGAGGTAGGCAAAGCGTGGCAATGGCATCCCAAGCAGTTGCGCGAATTATTCGAGTCCTCAATTCGAGAAGCATTAAAGCTTCGACCTATCTGTTTATTTGTCGACGCTTTAGATGAATGTGGTGAAAAGGATGCGACGATGCTAGCCCAAAGATTCAAGGACTTACTGGACAGTCTCCGGTCCACCGCCTACAATTCGTTTCACATCTGCTTCACATGTCGTCCATACCCTATTGTGGCCTTGGACAGTGAGTTTGAGATATGTGTGGAGGAGGGAAACGGGACGGACATATCCAATTTCGTGGGACATCAGCTTTCAGAGCTAGAACCAACGATATTACCAAGGATTCTGAACTTGATCACCGAACGCGCCAATGGCGTATTCCTATGGGCTTCACTGATAGTGAAGGAGATTGTAAGTCTCAATCTGAAAACTACGAAATCAGAAGAAATGGAAGACGCCATTCTTCAGGTTCCCCAAGAGCTCGATGACTTGTACCGCAAGCTTATCGAAGAAATGGGGTCGGACTCTGTGTTGCTCATCCAATGTATCTGCGTTGCCATGCGGCCATTGTCAATAGCCGACTGGCGATGGGCTATGGCTATGAAGACTGATTATCCATATTCGTCGTTACAGCAATGTCAATACTCCCCAGATTACAAGCCAGATGATAAGAGCATAAAGAAAGAAATTCAGACACTCAGCCACGGTCTTATTGAGGTCACATCGAATAAAACTATTCAGTTCATTCACCAGACTGTCAAGGATTTCTTTGTCGAGAACGGTCTATGGCTGCTCAAACCGCTTGGCAGCGTGCCCGTCGGGATATCCGAATCCGATTTTGCCGTCGGAATGGCACATTACGAACTGTCTAAAATCTGCGTACGCTTTCTGAAAATGGTGCCGAATACCGGGATCTTTTTCAACTCAGCTGGAAGGACGTATGATCTTTCTCTGTCAAGATATGCTAAGATAGAGTGGGTGCAACACGTACAACAAAGCGAGCAGAGGGGGATTCTTCAAGATGCTGTCCTTCAGGATAATCTCCTCGACTGTTTTCCTTGGCTGATGGAAACAGTTCCTAGCCCGTTAATGCGGGCTCATTGCACATTATTTTATCACAGCCTTCAGTACAGTTATCAAATGTCATACTTATCCCACGTTGCGTCAAGATTTGGCCTCACAGGGCTATTACAAGCAATGCTCCGCAGAAGTAAGAGTGTAATTGATGAAAAGGATGAGCGTGGCCGAACGCCGCTCTTGTTCGCTGCAGAGAGAGGACACGAAGCTACGGCTAGGCTTCTGCTTGGGTATGGCGCTGATATGGAGGCGAACGACGAGAACGGCCAGACACCGCTATTCTTTGCCGCTGAGATTGGACATGAGGGTGTCGTACGGCTGCTACTTAAGCATGGCGCTGCATGTGGTAATATAAAGGACTGTCAGGGTAAGACACCACTATTTATCGCCGCCGCCCGATGGGACGCGAATCCAGCTGTTATACAGCTACTACTTGAGCATGGAGCTGCATGTGATATTAATGTAAAGGACCATCAGGGTATGACACCGCTATCGATTGCCGCTTACAAAGGGGACAAGAGGACCCTGCAGTTGCTCCGCAAGTATAGGGATGGCAGGAATGCTTAGGCAGCTGCAAATGGGGAACATGATGATATCTAAAGTCAGGAGTGTATTGTCGACGTGCTTCTAAAAGTGGACATGTTAGGAATCTGCGTAGTTGACTGTTTGTTCATCTGAAATATGGGGCGGGAAATTTTGGTCCATGCGATTCATTGTCTGAATATTTAGTATTGCGCCCATGGTTATAGAAATGTTGTCCATGACCTGTCCGGACCGAGTAGAGGTTGTCAGAAGCAACCTGAGAACCTTGGTAACTCGCTACTATGAGTGGCCTGTCCACTTACATGTCAATTGATGTAATCGCTGAAGGGTGACTATATCTAGGTAGATAAGTAATTAAGAAAGTAAGTAGGTAAAAAAGTAAGCAAGTAAGTAAATAGGAAAGTAGGGAAGCAAATAAAACAGTAAGTAATTAACTAACCCTTCAACCAACCATCCAACCGCCAACCAACTAACTTCAGCAGTTCACGCCACCCACAAATGTGGCACGTCGCAAAAATAGATCCACCAGACCGAAAGGCGCGGTTGCATCAACTGATCCTGTAGCTAACATCAAACATGTCAGCGTATCCAGGTCGAGACTGTCATTACGCTTGCCATTGTATCGCATCCCATGTCGGCATTCTGCAGCCAGTAGTGGGGCTCTATGGGGGCCTGTAGCTGTGCCGGCACCGTGCCGGCACGGTAACAGAGGGTGCCGGGGGGTGCCAAGGTGCCAAAAGGTGCCAAAAAGCCCTAAAAGCTAGTGCCGTAAGGTGCCGCGAGGTGCCGCGAGGTGCCGCAAGGTGCCCAAAATTCAGGGCCGGTACCTTCCATATAATAAATAATAAGCACCTTGGTTAATTAATCGTAACTACCGTAGTGGTTATATGTAATACTTAATCTATAATCTATAAAGCCGTGAATTCAATCCCTGTAAATGCCCTTTTTTATACCCTATAAAAATGCCCTATAAAATACTATCAACTTATAGCTGTAAATTAGTGATGTGTGGTCAACAGTGTAAGCTGCCTTTTTTTTGGTGTATGTGGCGGCTTTTAGCACCTTTTAGCACCTTTTAGCACCTTACGGCACTGTACCGGCACCTTACCTGCACCTTGCCTGCACCTTGCCTGCACCCAGCCGGCACTATGCCTCCACCGTGTAAAATTATGGCACCGTGCCATAGCTTTTTACGGTGCCGGCACCATACTGGATTTTCAACACGGTACCAAGGTCTCGCAGTGGCCCACCACTGGCGCTACAATACCAATCAAATGACTGCCTAGCGCTAATGCTGTGCGCAAGAGACGCCCAAGACATTCATTCCCCTGGCTTTGCACTGCATCCCTTTGAATGTGCGCCGGTCCACTTTAGCCAATAATAATTACTTATTTAAAAGATATATATACTTAGAGATTATAGTTTTTAAAGATACTAAGTGAATAAGAATATACTAGTTATTATTACTAAAAGAGTTTTTGAAGGATCCTTAAGTATTATAAAAAAAGTGGGTTAAATACATCAATTGGACCTGCGCACATTCAAAGGGATGGGGTCTCGGCAACGTCATCGCACCTTGGTAACTGCTCGCTTGAGCATCAAGCCACCGCTCCGGCGTGAGACACAATGTCGAAAAGGCCCATTGCCTCCATTTCCACAGCCCAGGCGGCGGATCGTGAAGCGCCTAGCGATGCGTCCGACAACGCGCACAAGAATCCGCGGCCCATGTCGAGCTCCCACGCTCCGCCTCACACATCCTCGGCAAAGCGACGAGTAACATCGTGCGCTGCGTGCCGCAAGCAAAAGGTCTGGCCGCACATGTTTCCTCTGTTGACAATTCCCATTCAACTTACGCATCACTCTGTTCATCAACTCAGATCAAATGCGAGCTTCTGACGGAGCGGCCGCCGTGCGAACGGTGCAAAAGGCGCAACATAGAATGCGTCATCAACACCGGGCTACGTAACTCTATTCTCGATCAAAGGTATCAATCCTACATCCTTTCATTTTCCGCCCCTCATCATGCCATGAAGCTAACCCGCATAGACAACTTGCCGTCCTGGGGAGAGACTTGAGCAGAGTCCATGCGACGCTGGAGACGGTGTGCCAGCAGCTCGGAGTAGAGTTGCCAAAACCCCTAGAGTTGGCGGCCCTCAGCAGCGTTGGCGCCGGGCCGGGAATGCAAGATGGTGATTTAGACGACGGCGAAGATGGACTGTACGAGCCGTCACAGCACAACTCTCCATCCGCGGTGCCTGCTCCCATCGACGCCTATCTCACCAAACCCGAGTCTGAACCTAGTGCCCCGGGTCCTGCCACTGCCTCGGCTTCACGCTCGTACAAGAAACCGGACATCATTAGCAAAGGACTGATAACGATTGAGGATGCCGAGGTACTGGTCAACCACTACTTTGTTGAAATGGATCCTATTCTGTATGGATTCGTCAACACGCACAGCACAACCCATGGTGTCAGAGACGGGTCTCCGGCACTGATCGCGGCCATCTGCACCGTCTCTTCTCTGCACCTAGTAGACTACGGCCATTTATTCGAGACGTGCTACCGCGAATACAGACACATCATAGCCACCACTCTATTCGAGCGACAGGACGTCGAGCACATCCGCGCCTTGTTAGTCGGCTCGTTTTGGCTCCCCGGCGCGTCGAGGATTCTCCTCTGTGACGCCGTCAGGCGCGCCGGCGACGTCAGGCTCCATCGGCACATCTTCAAAGCCATCAATGGGCTATCCAAAACGTCTCCGAGCCTCCATCACGGCAGCGCCGATCAGAACCAATCCCGCGACTGTGTCAGGTTATGGTATGGCATATTCATGAGCGACCAGCACCAGGCCATCCTCAACAACAGAGAAAGTCTACTCCCGCTGCATATAGACGTGCTCGAAAAACGAGGAGAGTACATGGAAAACGAAGCATGCACCAGCCATGACCTGCGCCTGGTTGCGCAGTCCTCGTTACTGCTGGCCATGGCGAGGATAAAGTCGACTCTTGGGTCCGAGTACCCTACGCCTGTTCCGGAGTCTCGAGCTGCCGAGTTTGTCAACTTTTCTGCCGAGCTGGATGCGTGGATTGACGAATTCCGCCCCAAATTCCGTGAGTTGTACAGGGCCAGGGCCACGCGGTACACGAGACATGCTGACTTGGGGATATCCAGAGCCGAGTCCTGAAATGGGCAAATTCCCGCCATTGGCATTCCAGCTCCATTACCTCTTTGGCAAGCTGTACCTCGGACACCACGTGTTCCGCGGCTTGCAAGGAAGAATGATTCCAGAGGCACTCCTCGAGGCCGCCCGAATGGCATACGATGCGGCCGTAGCCATCTTCCGGATGATCCTGGATGCTGACGGCCTTCTATGTAATCTCTGGAGGGTACCTGGCTACATTCACATCATGATTTCATTTGCAGGCCACTTGCTTCTCGAACTATGCATCAAACACCGCGACCAGCTCGAGATTAACGTCGAGCAAGACTACCGCACGTTGAACGCCGTCGTCTCGGCATTGACCAACATTCGTCTCAATCCTGCACACCCGCTTCGTCGGGTCGCCAGTGGCCTGCAAAAACGACTCTTTGAGTTTGCCGCCCAATACGGAAAGCAGAGCTTGATTGACAACGGCACCGACTGGCCTCGTCAGCATGGAAAAGAGGCCACCAGCATGACGGCATCGGCCTCTGCAGGGGGTGGTGCGCAAGAAACCACAGGACCGCTCTTTGAAATGGGCGCCACGGGTATGCCCGACGACTTTTTCCTTACAGACTTTAGCGACTTTACGTTTCAGGATCCTTGCGTGGATTTTATGGGGGTGTAGAATGTCTCGTGGCCTTTTGTCGTGCTGAGGCTCGGTGAGGGGAGCACAAGCGACGTCAACCTGTCTTGGCTCGAATGTACAATCAGTCCACACAGAAACGCGTAGCTAGCAAAATTGACCACCCGGCGGCATTCAACTTTTGGTGTTTTTTTTTTTAAAAAAAAATCGATCAACTGGGCTATTGATGCTGCCGCTGTTGTGGTGCCGATAGAAAAGGCTTCAGATGTTAATTTCATTGACATGTTGTGGTGCATGTTGTGGTGCATGTTGTACTCCGTCTGCTGTGGCCCGGAACAATATTGTTGCGACCGGGGCAACTGTAGGTGACACATGGCATTAATTTCACTTTCGAAAATGGCCATCCCGTCATTGCCAAGAGGACGGACTGTTGCCAATGTCGGCCGTGACATTGGCAGAATGATTCGCATGGCCATGGCCATCGGCAAGGCTGGAGCTCTTGTTCTTTTCATCGCTCGTCGACCCGGGCCGCTGCAGGCCACTGCCGAGCACCTCTCAGCCCTCGCCATGGACCTCAGAGAAACGCTCGGTGCTCTCACCAGGTCTCAGGCTGAGGCATGCGGTAGTGCCTAGGCTAGCTGAAACGCCCATGTCCAAGACCGTCCTGCGGACAATGACTGGGAGACTTTGGATGAATTGTCCCATGTCTCGCCAGCCGGGTGAGCGATGCGTTAACGGGCCAGGCAATGTTTGTAGACGGCCGTCACTCATCAACATGAAGGAGGCATCAAGGTGGTAACTATGACAGATGTCCAATGTCAGACACAAGGCGGAGCCGTCTCAAGCCGGTTCGAACTTGATGTTACTGTAATACGCCTCGAAATGATGTATACTCGGAAAGTGTTTAGTCATCTGGTTGTATGACATGAAAGCAAATACGGCCTGTTCTGTCTAGTCGTATCGACATCAAGTCCTGCTATATCCTGACGTGCCCAGCCTGGGACCGTTCGAGATTGGGGCTGTTTCAAGGTGCCCGCACGACCCGAGATGCACACCATCTCGCGCGTCTTGGAAGCCCCCAGCCCATCTTTCGGTTGACGAGATTCCCGGCTTTCCATCCCCTTGACAGAAACAAAAGGTTCATGTGTGTGCTCCGCCTCTCTGACCCAGGAGCCAGGGATGTCGGGTATCGACTACCAACTAGAGACTTGCGATCTGGCTAAACTGGGCCGGGGCAACGACCATGACAGCATTTGGCTTGCTTTAGCGGTGCTACTCGAGGTGAGACAGACGCAGGGATGGTATTTGCCGCCTAATCATCCTCTACGGAGTATTCCGTGCATGCTACAAATAACAGGCCGGGATAGACCAAGCACAATCCAAGTGGTGCTTTCCCCAGTTTCCGGAACGGAAAGGCCCTTGCTACCACGTTCCGACCGACACGTATCTATATCCGGATGCGAGTGGGCTTGTATTAATGGGACAAAATTCTTGGCTCCAAGGGGGCACCATGTAACTAGTCAAAGACATGGCCGGCGCTACTCCGTAGTTCATCCCATATTAGATTAGCAACCGACCGACTGCCAGTCAACCTCTACTAAACGAGAATACGCAAGACAGCAAAGACCCTAGTGGCAGAGATGACCCCGGGACTTGCTGCCAGGACCCCAAAGTCTAGAGGGACGTGCGGTCGACGGGCTGCCGGGGATGTCGGCCGTGATACCGTGACAGCACTAAACGGCAAGTTACCACGGCCAATTTTAGCCGGGGTTGCCGTCCGCACTTGACATTTGAAGGGAGGAAATAGTCGCTGCTCGTGCGGTGCAAGCAAGTGGATGGACATGAAGTATCATCTGGCGAGAAACAAGACTGAGACCTACGCCATATATTTTTTGTCTTGGAAACCAATGCTACCTACCACCCATCAGACGTTCACGTATATGTTACGATCCATAAAAGTATCCCAACGTTGAAAAAGTCGCGTGTCCCGACGGCTCTCGTGAGTCGCGACCATTCACTCGACGACGGCATCACAGTTCGTGACGCGATTGAGGACGAGAGTCAAATATTCGGCGATGATGAAGAGCATTTAGGCGACTGCCATGCCGACAAACACTGCATCAATTTCGACTGTATAGCTCCCGGTCCGTACCCTGAGAGTATGGGCTTCGACCGGTATGGAGTTTGGTTCGATTGTGCACCTCGCGGCTTCTGCTGTCAATATCACGCAGCTGCCTGCTTGCGCTGTGAGTCGTGTCCCCGGAAATATTTCTATACAACCGGACTTGTCAAACTTGCACGACGTGTTTTCTGCGGGTAGGCGAGATCAAGGGACGGTATTGTGGCTAACATCCAACCACGGGACAGTTGTCATGCATTGCCGCAAGATGCGACGTCGCCAACGTAACCTGCATATGCCAGCACGGAGGATATACCTCCGCCATGGGGACATGCATGTTTCAATCATGTGGATTGTCAGATGCGCTCTGTAAGTGCTCGCCGAACCCTGTGTGTGCCGTTCACGAGCCAACGTTGCTGGCAGACTGCAACTAACGGCATCATGTACGTAGTCTCGAGAAACTTGACGTCAACGCTGTGCAACGAGCCCATCAGAGACAAGGGCCTCGAGTTTCGAGTCGTCAACTTTCTGCTGGGAAGCATGGCCCTCGGACTAGTCATCATGCGACTCTTTTTCAAAAAGTACCTCAGCACCAGCAAAAGACTCGGCCTGGACGACTGGACAATCCTGGCGGGCCTCATTCTAGGAGTCCCCAGCGTCGTTATCCAGGTCTTTTTTCTGACCCCGACGGGGCTGGGGAGAGACATCTGGACGCTGGATATACCCACATTGCTGGCGTTCGGCCACTACTTTTACGTCATGGAGATTTTGTACCTGACATTGATGATGCTGATCAAGGTGGCGCTGTCTCTGTTCTACCTCAGCATATTCCCGGGGACTGTCATTCGGCGCTTGCTGTGGGTGACTGTGGCATTCCACGTCGCTTGCGGACTGGCCTTTATCCTGAAAACCGTGCTGCAATGCACGCCGGTCGCGTACAACTGGGAAAAGTTCAACGGCGATGCTTCAACTACAGGCCATTGCGTCGATATCAATGCGTCGGGATGGGTTAATGGCGTGATTGGCGTCGTGGCGGATATTTGGCTCTTTGCCCTGCCGCTGACACAGCTCAAGAGGCTCACGCTGCATTGGAAAAAGAAGGTTGCCGCGGCCATCATGTTCTTGACCGGCGCCATGTAAGTGCTTGCCTTTGTTGGGCCTCGGATCTTGAAGACATGGTTAACTAACTGCGTCACAAGAATTACCATTGTGTCCATGCTCCGGCTCAAGTCTCTGGTGCATTTTGCCAACTCGTATAACCCGACTTGGGATCAATGGAGTGTCGTCTTTTGGTCCACGATTGAGGTGTCGGTCGGGTTTATTTGCACTTGTCTGCCTGCCTTGCGCCTCATACTCATGCGCATGTACCCTCAGACATTCAAGTCGGATTCTTATGCATCGTCCTCTTTCACATCGAGAAATCTTTACAGGCGCAGTAGCATTTCGCGTATTGTTGATGAGGGCTGTGAAAATGATTTGGTTGACTTGTCTCAGTCGAATTTGATACCGGCTCATCTACAGGATACTCTAAAGGATAATGAAGATGGGTCGGGGGCTAGGAGTGGCAAGATTCGGATACAATCTCTGCAGGCCTTACCCCTTGATGAGAATAGCATGAAAGGAACGGCGAGGGACCAAACGGCTGCAAGAAAGCAGTCTGCTAATGATTAGGGAAAAGGAGTAAAAGGAACCATGGGCTGGGCGGCAACTTTGGTTTTTTCCCCAGCTACCATTTCCTGCTTATGCAGCTGGCGTCTGGGCCAACACATTGGGACTGCTTGTTTCGCTTTATTTTATGCCCGTTAGAAGGATATATCTGCTAATTGATCAAGCCGATATTCAAGCGGAATTGGTTGGAAAATAGAAAAAATTAGAAAGGGGAGCGTTTAAAAGCGGCAATAGTAAACCTGAGATGAGGTTGTGCTCCCGTCTCCGGATGTTTGCTTCAGTGTAACCTTATTATCACTCAACTGATAGACGAGAGAGATGTAAAGAGAAATGAAATCCCAGGATCTAGAAGTTTTGACAAAGCATATCATCGGGTTTTTTACAGCGATTAGCTTTCGATAGTTTGAATGACCTGGAGGCCTAACTAGACAGCAGCTCTCAGCGTACTATACCAACTTCTAGAAGCCACACACCAAGCACTGAGTGGAGTTAGAGACTTACCACTAGGAGATTCGTCTCGATTTCCGCATAAATCTCATTCGCGGTTCTTGTGGCTCAAAATGATCAGCACGATTATGCCTCTATCCATCAATTTTGACCCCGACTGTGACTTCTACCAGCGTAGAAGTCTGGCACGCAGAGAGTCACCTTACTTTGCAGTCGAGTCAAAATACACAATATTTAATGCCTGGATACGATGCCGAGATTTTGCGTGTGACATACACGCTCTCCCAGTAGAGGCCGTCCCAGATCCCTTTGGGTGTTACTATTTATCTTTATATATACAAAAAGATACATATTTATACTCATTAAACCAGGTATCTACTAGGTATCTCAGACAAAGCGGGCCCGGTACGCAATCGGCACCTTCGAACACCCAAAGGGATAGGGGCGTCGGGGGGACTGAGGTCAAAGCCGCCCTACAACTAAATATGGATATGCATCAATCACTGTGCGTCTTTTCTGCAATTATTAATAAATATTGCACCACTCTGTCCTTGAATCAGGCTAACCCTTAATTATAACATATAAAGTATCGTTTCGTTGAGCGAGCAGCTACTTTATTCCTCGGCCCTTTGAACGTCGTGTGTCCACGGAAAATGTAAGGGGGCATAGTTGCTGTTCAACTACAGCGTGTTGCTTCTGAGACATTGTCCCTTTAAAAAAAACACAAAATACAGAGCAAGTTGAAAAGAAGAACCCTTAATTCAGTTTGGCTTCGGCTCAATCTCTTTACCCAACTATGAAGCCGTACCAACTGCTTGCTCTGCTTACAGAGAGTGCCATCGGTGCGCCTCGGACACAAGTCAGACACCTGATGGACTTGCTGACATCCTGACGTCTGCTAGTTCTGAAGCTAACCCGGCGCTCATTGGCAAGACAGTCTTTGACAGTGTTGTTGAGCAGGCCGATCGCGCGAAGAGAACCGCCATCAGGTCCCTGAATGTCCTCGGACGTCAGGCACCGCCATTGAATCCTCGCACAACCTCTGCCGCTGACGCGTCCAAGTTTAACAAAGCAGGTAGCAGCATAAAGGGAGGCTTTCCCCGCGGCGATGCTCGACCTCCCTCTGAAATATTCAAGTCAGGATTCTACCAACAGGGCAACGACAGGAGCCTATAGAATTATTTGAACTGTAGGGGAAACTTAGGTCTCGTGTCGCCCTCATGATCCCGTGACGCCGTGCAAAAGTATGTCTTGGGTCCGTCCGGTGCCGGCAATCAAAAGGGCTACGTGGACGTTGTAGCAGCGAAAGACGTTTCGAACGATTACCAAGTTCCCGGCACCTATAACTCGAAGAAAGATCGGGCAATCTCCGTTAACTAGGAATTAGCGGCAGCAGGCTCCGTTTCAGGTTCGAGCATTTCTCATGCATACAAAGTTTTTCAGCTTATTGCTCAGACTAATCTGGCAGATCTCCACTCCCACCTTTATGCACTACTTATTAGCGATTTACTCGGCCTCTAAGCAATTTGGCTCAAACACAGTTGGGCTATTGCCCTACGTCTTAAATTATGGGTACCTGGTTTTACTAGCTGGCTTAATTACCTGCTGTGACTGATAGTACGGACCCGCAAGCCTGTTACTTGCCAAACAAAGATAGTATCAGGTTGGCTTAGGCTTAGGCTATTCACCAATTATGCCTGCCTGCAGCCCGTAAGCTGTAGCACGGGCAGTGGGATATGTGTAGTATAAAGCAAGAAATTATTAAATTAAAAGGCCACCTTTCCCTTCATCCTGTCCAAGGAAACTTCCCAAGGTGTAATATGCTGAAGTCTGTGCTCTAAACGTACAGGGGAGCTAGTCCTTGCATGAATTCCTGGAAGCCTTCCCCTTGTAGACCTCCATAAAGAGGCTCTTGTAACGCTCTTAGTATGTTTCAACTTATTCTGCAATAAACGTCGAAAAGTGGAAGCATTACGCATTATTTCTGACACCTGGCTATTATGCAATGCACTAACTCCTGGCTATTACTTATTAGCTGTTAGCTGTAGCACTATGACTCGGCGGCTAAGAAAATTCGTAATGCGCATAATATAATAATATAACTCAAGCTTGCTCTATAGCTGGAGATACCGCCGGAACTAGGTATAAGGCGAGAGAGAATTATAGATAGATTGATATTCGAGACGAGTATAAAAGTGTGCTATTCCCTTAACCTACTCTGTGTTAATAGTCCAGCAATCTATTACTTACTACTACTATCAGTACAAGTCAACTACTGCTTTATATATTCTGCTACTTTTCCCTCTTTTCAATTTTCAACAAGATGTTTTCTATAAAGCTCGCTATACTCAGCCTCTTTCTAGCTGGATCGACCTTGGCCATGCCAGCTGCTGATCCGAATGAGGATCTAGGGTGCCCATCAAGTCCGCTGTCTGAAGCCAATAACACTTCTAGCTCAGCGGCACTCCAAAAATTGAACGAAACATGCTATGAAGACCTCTGGGGCGATTATGATGTTAAAATACTCGATCTCGATATAAACCACGATGGCAAGGACGCTATTTGCAAAGACATATCTCAGGAGTATCTGAAGTGTCAGGGTGAAACCTGTGGTAAACGGGTGCTCAAGTCGGGTGGCGAATGCCTAAGATATGCTTGGCAGGCTTCTAAACAGTTTAAAAAGGAGGCTAAACAGTCTCAAAAGGATACTGAACAGCCTCAAAAGGACCCTGAACAGTCTGAAAACGATACATGTACGGAAGGGTCTGAGGAGGATGCTGAACAGCCTCAAATGAAGAGTCTCAAAAGGATACTGAACAGCCTCAAAAGGACCCTGAACAGTCTGAAAACGATACATGTACTGAAAAGTCTGAAGAGGATACTGAAGAGTCTCAAAAGGATACTGAACAGCCTCAAAAGGACCCTGAACAGTCTGAAAACGATACATGTACTGAAAAGTCTGAAGAGGATACTGAAGAGTCTCAAAAGGATACTGAACAGCCTCAAAAGGACCCTGAACAGTCTGAAAACGATACATGTACTGAAGGGTCTGAAGAGGATGCTGAACAGCCTCAAAAAGCTGCTGAAAAGTCTCCAGAAAAGTTTATAGACTTTTTTTCAGAGTGTTTTCAAAAAGTCGTGAATGGCCCGGCTGAAATCGAGGCCGCCTTCTCTGCGGCAGTTGGAGTATTTAATTCCTGTCAGAAGAGCCGTACTAAGTGCGACTCTGAATTGCGCAAATCCGCAAACGTTTATATGGACTCTCAGAATCCTGGCGAGGATGGAAATTGCCGCCGTCATATTTCGCAGTCTATCCAGCCGTGTACTATTTTCCTGTTTAACAACAAGCCACTTGACGGATCAATTGAAAAAGGCTTTCGGGATTGTGTCAATAACAGGGTTGAAACTAGCGCGAAGGATAAGGAGTGCAGCGTGGAAGACCAAAACATTGAAGGGTAACTAAACCGCTATAGGCTGTAATAGCCTAAATTACTTAGTTTATATCTGCATAAACGGGGCCCGTTACCACGCCGACCGTGTATAATAGATATAAAGGTTTAAGATACACTATTGAAAAATACATTATACTTTATAAAAATAAAGGCAATTGCTACCCGGGCCTGACGTTTTGGCTACACGGGCCTGACTGTAAAGTGCGTTTTTCAAGGTCTTTGAGAGATGTAGGACGTTTTCAAGCAGATATAGATTCCAGTCACGATCAATGCAAACCCGGAACATAGCACGCCTCATAAAGCTGGGCGTCTCTGAAGCGCGCTCGCTGAGGTGAATAGCCCTGCCCGACTTCAGTAGGGGCTTCTATTTTTGGATAAAACGCAAAGAACTGTCGTTTGTATGCGTGGCAACACGGAGCGGCAAGAATATTTTATAGGAATCAGCATGGTTTAGGACGCACTAATACGCCGTAGGTGATTGCTCTTTCGCTGTTAGAATATTTGACATGTATTATTAAATGAAAAATGTCAAGGTATTATTATAGTTTCTGGACAGCTCTGGCAATTAGAAATAGGGGTGAAGCAGAGGTATATAACCGAGAATAAACGTGGTTGGCTACAAAATGAGCGGCTACTAACAAAAGGTCACATTAGTTGAGTTTACAGCAGCAATTTGCGTAGTGGAAAATGGTGATAATTTAAGAGGCTTTTTAGTGCCTCAATTGATGGCTTTGTGTTGATGATGACGATAGAATTGAGTTTATTGATGAAACATGGAGCAAATTTGACTTGACCCCTTTTATATCCGGTCGGGACCCCTGACGATAACCCTACAAATCGCCGCACAGATCGGCGTGTATTCGGTGCTACCTAGATCTAACTATCTAGGCGGTTGACAAAAAATAGAAGCATAATGAGTTAAACCTCCAGTTTGTGGACGTTGGTATTCGACCGTTCGCGGCGTTGATTGACCCCAAAGAGGTCGACTGGTCGAATACGTACGTACTACGAACCTTGACCCTTTTGTAGTTGAAGAGTTCGGCCGTGCGCTAAAAAATGGGGACAAGAAAGAAAGAGGTTACTGGTACGTTTCGTTCCAAACGTCGACTCAAATCACCCCAAGCTTATAGTATCAACACTACCCAATCGTAGTCGGTGCTACCCTGGCCAGCCGCGGTTACTTGTGACGTTACAATCACGTCTCCCTTGCGGTCGATCTCGACCGATCCACGCGTCGCCTGGCCACTAGTTCAGGGACATTGGCAATTTGGTTGACGAGTCAGAGCCAGCAGACGCCACGAGGCGCACCCATTGGGCCATCTGGCCGCACAGGCCCTCTTAAAGTTTGGAAACTATCGGTAGTCGGTCACTTTTGCCCAGAATGCCAAGCGCTTCTAACCGGGTTGGGTTGTGGCTGCGAGCACCGAGATTGGGGGCCTAGGCATTGTCGTTGGGGAATTGCTCACGGTTGTAGACACTCGACACGACGATATTCTCAGTGTAGCTGCGCGACGTATATACAAGTACGCGTGAGTATTCTGAGCCGTTGGATGAGGGAAAACAGGGCCATGGTGCGGTCGCGCAAGGGCGTCTTGGCCTTGGTGGTCCGACCAGACACGATCTAGGCTCTGCATCGTGGATCACGGCGCCTTGGCATTTTGGTGTTGCGGGGAGAATTACCCCGGCCAGGTCGGGATGGATGGACTTGGAGAAGCTTGGCCATGACCATGCTGCACGGACGGACGCTTAATATTGCCCCGGCCGACGGCGGCTGAGGATCCGAGCCATGATGCCTATGTATGTAAGTGCTGGGAGCTGCTCCCTGGAGCCCAAGGTTTTCATCTTGCTTGTTTTCGACTGTTTGCAACGAGCGCAGAGATGCTTCACGCTCTTCTGCTGCTGGCGGCGCTGCCGTGGGCGACATGCTCGTCGGCGCATGGGAATCAGCGCCGTGTCATTCAGCAGCCCGGCCTCATCCGTTTCCCCATCACCGTGTCCGAAGCCCCGGCCGGCACGTTTCGTCGTCTCCGCCGCCAAAACAATGCCGACCTCACGAGTCAGAGCACGGGTTTCTTCTACACGATTGACCTTGTCATTGGGACCCCGGGGCAGGCCGTCCCCGTCAACTTTGATACCGGATCGTGGGAACTATGGGTCAACCCGAGCTGCGCAAACACGTCCGAGACGGCCATCTGCGAGAGCCTCCCGCGATTCACGGGGTCAACAACACTGGTCGACACGAACCGAACCGGCCAAATCGCCTATGGCGCCGGCTACGCCAAGTTCAAGTACATGTACGACTACATCTCTGTCGGAGGTAAGGACAACCACCAGACCGTTACATATAACATCGCCGGCTGTTGCGAGGGCGAGCCGCGCTAAGTCTCGACACCAACAGGGGCAAAGATCAACCAGCAAATCTTTGGCGTGGCATACGACACCTCGGTCGTTGCCTATGGAATCTTAGGCGCCGGTCCTTGGGTCCTGGGCTGGCAGTCTCCCTACCCCCATGTGCTCGACTCGCTGGTGAGCCAGAATCACATCCAGAGCCGTGCCTTCAGCCTCGATTTGCGGCCCATCGAGAGCCCCCTCGGCGCCGTCATCTTTGGCGGCATCGACACCAAGAAGTACATCGGGGGTCTCGAAAAGCGGCCCATTGCCACGGGGCCCGATGGCAGTGTCCGGTACGCCGCTCGTGGAAAACACAGGCAATGCTTCTGAACTACGATGCTGACGTCTGAACAAGGTACTGGATCTACGTGGATGGACTCTCGGTGACGAGAGAGGACGGGTCTCGCATCCCGGTATTCGACCAGACCAACGGCTTGCTCGCCCTCCTTGACAGCGGCACGACGCTGACACAGCTGCCGCGAACCATGGTGACGGAGATTCTGAAGGCGTTTCCCTCTGCCCGGCAGGACCCGAACGATGCCAACCAGTACATTGTGGACTGCGCGGCGGCCAGTCTCGCGGGCACGGTCGATTTCAAGTTTGGAAACACCGTCATCAATGTTCGATATGACGACTTTCTGTGGAAACAGCCCCAGCACGGGATATGTGTGCTGGGCGTGTCGCCAAATGACTGTGAGTGACGCAAACTATTGATGGCAACGTGCAACGGGACGGCGTGGCTAATACGTCCAAAACAGCATTCTTCGTGCTGGGCGATACGTTTCTGAGATCGGCGTATGCCGTCTACGATATGGATAACAGAAATGTCTACCTGGCTCCTGCTGCTGACTGCGGGACGAATCTGGTCCCGATTGGCAAGGGAACCGATGCCGTTCCGTCGTTGGTGGGTGAATGCAGCTCGCGAGCAATTTCTGTCACGACGTCAACCACGGCGTCGCAGGTTCAGTCGACGACAACACAGGACGTCAGGGTTACTTTATCCTCTAGTTTCGAGTCGTCTACATCGTTGGCCGCGTCCTCTACAACGTCTGCGTCTGTTTCTAGCTCGATGCGTTTATCCTCTACTGCAGCTTCTGGTACGTCTTCAACCACGTCGTCGACTACATTGTCAACTGCAGCGTCAGCCACGACATCAAGCATATCATCAGCTACGTCGTCAGCTACGTCGTCTGCTACGTCGTCAGCTACGTCGTCTGCTACGTCGTCAGCTACATCCGTCACGGCATCAAGTGCATCGTCTAGCGCATTATCAAGCGCATCGTCGGCCATATCATCAGCTACATCGTCAGCTACATCAACCACAGAGCCAAGCACATCGTCGAGCACACCGTCAAGCATATCATCAGCTACACCAATCACGGCATCAACTGCATCGTCTAGCGCATCGTCAGCCACGGCATCAACTACGGCATCAACCATATCGACAAGCACATCTTCAGCCATATCATCAGCTACGTTGTCAACCGTAGAGCCAAGCGCACCGTCAAGCATATCGTCAAGCACATCGCCAACTACGTCGCCAACTACATCCTCAGCTACACCGTCAAGCATATCATCAGCTACACTAATCACGGCATCAACCACGATGTCAGCCACTGATCCAACTACAGAGCCAACCACACCGTCCACCACGTCGCAGACCCAGTCCAACACAACAGAGAACGTCACGTCCACTTCAACTTCTAGTCTATCATCACCCACATCGTCATCACCAGTATATTCGTCTTCCCTTGAGTCCTCTCCTATTTTGACGCAGAGTGAAACGGCCGCGACAAAGGATGTCAACACGACCTCGTCCGCCGCTTCCTCGCCTACATCATTGTCCACTTCTTCATTCGCATCACTTCTCACATCCACGCCTGTGTCCTCATCATATTCACCATCTACCAAGTCTGAAGTTGAACAATGTTCTTCATTCTCGACGACGGGCGCACCGAACACAACTACCGCTTCATCGTCGTCTAGTACGGTATCTGAGACTCAACACAGTTCAGTCATCTATACAAGCTCGATTACAGCCTCTCCCGCCTCTAAATCCGTATCAGAGGAAACATCAGTCCCTCCTTCGAGCAGTCTGTCAACCAGCCATGTTACAACAGCCATTGGCCTTTCCTCGACAGCCGAATCGAGTCCGTCTCCAGCAACATCGACAACCTCAGGGTCGACGACGGTGTCACCCCACGCCACGAACAAGGTCCCAGTGTTAAACCAAACCATACCAATTGCTGACACCGCTACATTACCGACCAGGATATCTTCAAACGAGCCGCCTTTCGCTACAGGTTACTCAAGGGGCAGCACATATCAAGTCGCAACAGAGATATCTTCTGCTGGAGACACCCCAGCAGGAAACACAGAGACTTCTGCGTGGCAGAGCTCACACTTGACCCATGCTCAAAACAATTCTTTTACTGTTTCGCACTCTGCTGCCACTGCATCCCCAGACTTCAGCATCAGCTCATGGCCAGAGCGCCCGTCCAAGGTCACAGTAACTACGACATTAACCGTGACATCCTGCGAGCCAACTGTTTCAAATTGCCCAGTAGGCAAGCTTACAACCTCAATCGTGGTACTCGACGCGACATCGCATTTGGGTGGCGGACCTGGCGGCAATACCGCCAATCCTACGCCGGCTGGAACGACCGCGATCTACACACTGCCTCCTTTTATTTGCGGCAAGGGAGCGATGGATTGTACTACTCCCACGACCCTGCCTACCCAGGTCGTGACGGTGGTGCCTCTAGTCACAAAGTCAGTCGCGGTTACTGTTGGTGACTGTATGGACTGCGAAGCAGCACCAACACCATTGGCGCCCTCATCTCATCCATCCGGTCTCAACACGCCCGCTCCCGCTCAGACGCAGCTGGAGACCAAAGCTCAGGATGTCTCGGTACAAGAATGCTCCGACTGCAGCCAGACATTGGCACCTTCAGCGCAGCCGGAGACTTCCGTAACGAACGCGAACGACGCAACAGCGACGCATTCAAACGGCCCAGTCGTCTCATCCGGTGATGTTTGCTCAAGCTGTGGCACGCCAAGTCCAAGCGTTGTCACTGCAAAAGGCAATCGGCGGCCTCAATCTTCAGCCGGATTGTCGGCCGTAGCTGTTGGATTGGCCTTGTTGGTAGCGCTGGTCGGATTTTAACGCTTTTGCATACGTTGTATTCTACTTTCCATTGTTTGTTTTCGCGTTGGGTGGTTGGCATTCTAGATAATTAGAAAGACGCGTTGACGTCTTTGTATTCATTATAAATGCGAACCTGTATAGGGATCTCTCGCAAATAGATATCGACTAATTGCCATTGTATATAGATACATATGTACCTGCTGCTTGCTATAGTAGATAATAGCTTAGAATTGAACTGCCATATCTACTGCACTGTTCCCGGGAATCGTCCATGTTTCTTTTTAACCTCATAACCGACTGCCCTCGTTCAGCGGCCTCGATGGAAACAATGAAATGGAAAGACTACCAGAAGATGGCTGCATTCCGCGCATGCTTGCTCTGAAGCTTGTCGTGCCGGTCGTCTTACTCCTCGTTCCAGACTCTCTACGAGTTCAAGAGCGCTGGTAAATGGCCCAAATACAATGTCAGACCCGGTCGCGCCTCATACACCGGTGGTGCTTGACGGAAAAGTCAACGATTGCTAGATGGAGTCTTGACGTCATGTCCAGGCCGTGCACACTACGGTCGTGGCTGTTGCGAGTAGTCATGGTAGAGACGTTGACGGGTAGTAGAAGGAGGTTTGACAAAAGACAAGGCAAGCAAGAATGAATACGGCGAGGCATACTTGAAGTTATTGAGACCGACCCTGTTGACGATGGACTGCTACTCCAAGTTGATGTGTGTATTGAAGACAGGATACTTGGAATGCTCATGGTTGACAAGCTTCGCTCCGGCGCTGACTGAAAATGCGCACATTACCATGTGAGACTCTGGGAGTTCTTCTGCTCGCCGCGGCATTTGCCATTACAAGAAGAGACTTTGTGGCAGTCTATTAGTAGATGGTGAATGATATAATAGAAGTTCCTGAAACCCCGCGAGAAGCAAGTCGAGCCCCGGTATGAGACGACCCGCGCTGAGAGAGCTGCGACCTTGTGTTCCAGAACTAGTGGCCCTTTTGGATTAGCACGGGAAGAAACTGAAATAAGTCGCGAGTAGTTGCGAGCCGTCCAAAGTTACAGGCTTCCGTTGTGGGTTGGTCGGCCGAACTACCAACCGAAATTCGGTGATGCGGTTGAAACTCGACAGCGAATTTTTATCAACGCTCCTCCGTCTATGACAAGACGTTCATATGATATGAGCCCTGGGAGTAAGACGCGCCACTTCCGGAATAGTGAGGTGTCTTGGCGCTATTCTATCATGTCTGAAGAGCCCGGTTCTAACTTGTGATAGTTGAACACGTTCCGCGGATAATACAACTTGACCCTATTGCGCACATGGCTAGCGCACGCGATTGTAGGAAACTTGGTCGAGTAGTAGTATCCAAATAGTAGCCGAAAATACAGATCTTCCGACTCGGCATCTAATAAACACGCTTGCGCTTTTCCAAACAGAAGCTTAGTACGGCAGGGACCTCCGTAGATCGATTCTACCCAGGGGCCTGGACAGCTCACAATGCAACCCAACGTCGGATTGATGGCACGGTAGCCTGATCTTGTGGAGCCGTGAAGTAATGTCGACGAGTATAACCGTCACTACGGTTGTGCAAAGCACGGATGACGACTCCAATTCTTGTAACGCCATGTCTACCAAACCTCCGTGATCTTCGGGATGTACCATCAGCTCCCACATCTGGGCTAGTATTCGCCACTAATCTACACAGATTCATTGCGCCATAGGCTCCAAGACCGAAAAAGAACGTGTTGGACAGAATGTAACTGTTTTGGCAGTCAGTATGGGTGTATACAGATGAATCTCCTTGTGTATATAAAGAAGCGTATATCCCCAATCTTGGCAACCGGCATTTCTCTGTGTACCAAGCTCATACTCTTACATCTGGTCTCTCTGCCAGTATCTTGCTCACAATGAAGACCACCAACACCCTCGTGCTCTTGGCTGCCGCCATTGACAGCTCCCGCGCGGCTCCCGCCCCGAATACGGGGTTGAAGTTCAGCGCCGAGACAACCCACGTGTCTAGCCCCCATGTTGTTCACGATATGCGGCGCGTCGTACGCAAGTTCCTCGACCAGGCTACCGTGAAGGCTTTACAGTCGGCCGTCCTGAGCGAACGAGGAGAGAATGGCACCGTCGTCACCATCCCCGAGCCCAATGACGAAGGCGTGGACAACCTATACCTCACCGAGGTCAGCATCGGAACGCCTCCGCAGAAGCTCATGCTCGACTTTGACACAGGGTCCAGCGATCTATGGGTATTCAGCAGCGACACCAGCGCCAGCCAGGTCAAGGGCCAGACGCTCTACAAACCCAGCGGCAGCTCTTCCGCCAAGCGGCTGGATGGACAGAAGTGGTCCATCCACTACGGCGATAACAGCACCTCCAGCGGCATCGTATACTCTGATATCGTCACTATAGGCGGCGTTTCGGTAGAAAACCAGGCCGTCGAGTCCGCCCAGCAAGTGTCAGAGTCCTTCAGCAGTGATAGGCAGAACTCGGGCCTCCTCGGCCTTGCCTTGGACAAGGGCAACACGGTCCGCCCGAGCAAGCAGAAGACATGGTTCTCCAACATCATGCCCCGGCTGTCCGAGCCTCTCTTCACCGTGCGGTTGAGACACCAGGCCAGTAAGTCATCCCTGCCCCGACGTCCTCCTGTTCCTACCGCCATGTTGGTGGCTTCGCTAACGCCACTCGCAGAGGGCTCTTACAACTTTGGCTACATTGACGAGTCCCAATACTCTGGCCCCATTAGCTACACGCCCGCGTCGACCGACGAGCTTGGCCACCGGCTCTTCCAGTCTACCGGCTTTGCTGTCGGCAACGGCAATTTCAAGAAACACACCATCACCGGCACCGCAGACACTGGTACATCGCTTCTCATCCTCCCTCTGGGGGTTGCCAAAGCGTACTGGGATGCTGTTCCCAGCGCCCAGCCAGCTCGCCTCCCGCAAAATGCCGGTTACGTTTGGCTCTTCCCGTGCGACACTACCCTGCCGGACTTTGTCTTTGCCGTTGGTTCGGGGAGAGTGACTGTCCCCGGCAAGGACATCAACTACGCCAAGAATGAAGGCTCTAGCTGCGTGGGCGGCATTGCATACTACAGTGGCCTGAATGGCCTGGCCATCTTTGGTGATGTTTCTCTCAAGTCTGCGTTTGTCGTCTACGACGATGGCCAGAATCGTCTCGGTTGGGCCAAGGGCCTGTAGTGTAGAGTAGTTTACATACCCTGCATCTGATAGAGAGCATCTATTATAGAAGCCTAGTCTCCTTTTGTCCTGTTATAGGAGACGTGAGAGACTTTTGATAGATGATACTATTCGACGTGAAATTATACACAAATGGTTCCTTTGGTCGCCTGTCAAGATTTTTGTCAACTTCCCTTGGTACATGCCCGTTCTTAGTTGGTGGAGTGATTTGTCTACTTGATTGCGATAACAAACGAGACCTTAACCTGCTAAATAGTCAGTATTGCTATGGCAGTACGCGGGCTTCTTAGAGGGACTATCGCCTCAAGCTGGTGGAAGTTTGAGGCAATAACAGGTTGACCTACACAGGCCTGTAACAGTGGTCCTCAGGTATAAAAGAATTGTCTTATTTTAAGATATTTGTTTTCCCTTTAGTTGCCAAGAGCCTTGATCCTCTTTGACACCTTGGAAAAAGCACATTGAAGCAAACGAACCACAGTAGTGACGACATTTGTACGTTTATTTTGCCATTTCTATCAGCCTTTCAATCAAGCCTTTTCCTTTTTGATTCGCGAGCGCTTTCATTGAATTTTTTTAGATGACCTCTTTACAAGACAGTCTTCTCCTTCATCTCAATGCCGTACTTTTCCTTCAGTTCCTTCATGATGGGGTTGTTGATCTTGGCAGTCATCGGAGCCAAAACACCCTTCTCAGATAGCGTACCGTTCAAAACCTGCTGGACGGCCACGGCACATGGAATTCCGACCAGGCGCGCCATGGCAGAATAAGTAGAGTCTCCGTACTCTACGAGGGTAGACGTACGGGTCTCCTTGGATCCGTCCTTGTGCTCAATCTCAAACTTGTGCTGCAGCATGACCATGTCTCGCTCGCCTTCCTCAAATTGCATCTTTTGCTCGAGAACGGCGCAGAGGGTGTCGAGCGGGTTACCCCTGGGTGTGATTTTCTCGTCAGAGAAGATGCCGATCCATCGGAGGCCTGAGAGAATTCGCTCACGGTCCTCGGGTGAGTCGAATTCAGCCTTGGCAACGATGGCAGCCTCGAGCTCCTTGGGGTCGGATGAGGCAGTTCCGAGGACAGCCTGAGTGGCCTCCCTCCAGGTGATGGGGGACTCGAGGGCCTTGATGGGCGTCTCCTCCAAGAAGCCGACCTGCACCAGACAGCGGATGAATTGTGGAAATCCCGCGTATCGGAGAGTTCCGCGGATGATTGTCTGGGCTTCAGGGATGTTGTAGCGTTGGGCATACGGAGTCGAGTCACGGTTGGGGTAGGCAACAAATGCAAAACCAGGCATGATGAAGTATGGCTTAGCTGTGCCCATGAGATCCTTGCTTGCAATGTTGAAGATCTTGCCGTCTTGAACGATGGACGCAGCATTCCTAAGGGCAAGCAACACGCCTCTTGAAGACCAAGAAAACTTGTAACCGAGGGCGTTGTCGGACGATTCGGGTGCAGGAAGTCCTGAAACTAGCTGTCAGTAGGGGGCATCCACGCAGGAAAGTCGGCCTCCGCAGAACATACCTCCACAGTAAGAAAGGAACTTGATAATTTTGCCGCCCGCCGCGTGGACTTCGTCGATTGTCTTGACAGCATCTAATCCGGGTCAGTGGTGGTGGTGGTGGTAGTGGTGATGCTTCTGTGGTGCTGAGCCCTCAGGCCGGCCATGTACTTACACAAGTGGTCAATGCCGGGGTCTAGGCGGAAAGACGAAGATTAGCAATTATGCAACTTTGAAGAATGAACAAATGAACATACCAAGGCCAATCTCGTTCATGACAGTGATCCCGGCGTCCTTGCACTGCTGGTCCAGCTCCATCATTGCGGGGGAAACGTAGCTGGTAGTGACAACGTTCTTCTTGTTGCGGATAGCGGACTTGATGACATTGACATGGTAGATGTATGGAATCAAGCTGATAACCAAGTCATGCTTGGCAACTTCTGCGTCCAGGGCATTGTCGTTCAAGACGTCGACCGTCGTTGGCGTGGCAAGTTTATTGTTGCCGGCAAGCTCTTGGGCAGTCTTCAAAGTTCGGCAGGCTGTACAGGACAAGGGAAACAAGAATAAGCGTCAGCAAGGGCATTTCAATTGACGTCGAGGTTCTTCATATTTTCCTCAAGAACTCGTACGCGGCGGTGGGCGGGGCGTTCGTACCGACGGTGACTGGGATGCCGGCCTTGGTCAGAAGATCCAGCGTGGGCTCTAATTGAGAGAAAGTCAGTCGTCGAAAATTCGCAACACTCGAAATTGATTGGAAATACTGACTGGTCACGAAGCCCGCGCCGAGCATGAGAACAGATCTATTCCATGGCGGGGTTAGTAACGCGGGATAACATGCGTCAATTGTGCCGGGACGGGACGTACTGTTGCGGCATGGTAGATTTTTGGGTTTTAGCTGGTAATATTTCGTGGTAGAGGTCGATTGTCAAGAGGAATATCAAAAGAAAATTTAAACAAAATTGACAATCTGCCGCAAAGGTGGTTGGAATATTCAATGTTACGACCAGACACAGCTGGGAGCACTTGAGCACGGTGGCTCGCCAGTGCGGGGCTCCGTCGGGCCGTAAGAATCCGGCCGATGGCGGCATAGCAAGCTGGTCAATTGTGGTGGAGGGGTCGACGGTTGCATCTGGGACTGGCTAACCATTTGCACTGATTGGATGCAAGTGGCCGGACTTCGGAGGGGCACAATGGAGGGGCTGTGGAGAGCCAAGTCATTCATCATTGATGTCTTGTCAATTCAATCTTGTCAGCCAATCCACAGCCAAACTGATTGGATCAAAACAAACGGTCAATTCTGGTCGGTTTACGCGTGACGAGCGAGCCAGCCGCCTACGTAGGTACACCAGGTGCAAACACTAACGTCGGAGAAACTTGTCAAGAACACCTTGCTCAAGAAATGCATAGCGACTAGTGAGCCACCGCCGAAATGCTTCCGGACCAAGTAGAAAGCTTGCTGGCAAGAGTGATGTCGCGAGACGGAGCACTGGACCTTCTGGCAAGCCTATTGTCAGGCAGGGGCAGAAAGGATCATGGCCAAATAGTGAAGCAGCAAGTCGAGAAAGGTCAACGGCCGACTGGTTAAAACCTGAGCTTGGTCGTGCGTCTACAGGCCAGAAGAAGCATCTTCCAACTTCGCACCACAAGACATGTTTCCATCCCTCGTCAATCTCAGAAAAGTCGCCATGGCAGCCATCTTTTCCATGCTTTAGCAGATCAAATCTTGTCCGATGCTGACCAAGTCGGGGAGGTCCGAAAGGGAATTGTTGACTTGATGAGAAAAAACCGACATCTTTATGCACATTGATCACCCCTCAATGGCACTGCCGACAACAATGGGGAGAACATGACCCTGTATATGGATCAAGATGCTCAGCATGATGATCATCTGCAGAAATTCTCGCATGAATCTTAAGGAGGGGACATGGAAACCAATGCCGCTGCATAAAGCTTCCAAACTGGCGTCACAGCTTAGCATCTTGATGGAAACACTGTCACGCATAATCAAGACGCAGGTACCGAAAGCAAGGCGCCATTTCAACGGTCCCCTGGGGATACACGAGCCATCTTGGATCCGTGCATAAACATACATGAACCCTGAAGCGCTGGGACCGGCGTCAGGGGGGAATGGGAGAGCCGACCTGATTTCAAAAAAGTTCTCAACCGCCTGGGTGAAATCCAAGCCGGCCAAGAACCTGAAGAAAGTCTTGTTACATTGGATACAGAGTTCATTTCTTTTTCTCGTCGTATTTTGGAACTCGGCTTTGGAACATTCAACTCGGGCAAGCTCTTGTTCAAGGCGCAGAATGACATGTATCACATCCAGGTTGCTCCAGATGGTTACGCATGCACGGCATGGGATGAACCATGGTGCCTGGATCGGAGACAATTTTATTTTTCCACGGGGTCGCAGCCCTTGTCCGCACAGCTTTCCGAGCATGATCAAGTATGCCGATCGAGTGTGCAAGGGGCACGCGACAATTCAGCCTCGAATGAGAAGGATATATGCTTAACCTTATTTCAGCCCTACCCCATCGTCAGAAGCTTCAACCGTGATGTATTACTTGTGGTGGAATATATCGGCCCGTCAAGAGGTATATACTACTGTACTGCAGTATATTCCAGCATGGAACGTGATAAGTAGGTACCTGGTCTAGTTACGGACCAGTTGACGTTATGCCTCTAGGAATACGCGCCATTGTAGTGAATATGCGAATAGACTGCGAGTTGCGTAGCCTCGGCAGAGCGGCAGAGCGATCATCATCAGGCTTTCAAGTTCCGGCCAATTCCCTCAACCCATGTCCGATGATCATGGGCAAGGATCAAAGGTCTTGGCAATGCCACTCTGCTGGTGCACAAGCATGACTGCTCGGTAATTTGATCGGCCTAGTTCCATCTGTCGGCAGAAGAGCAGGCCTCGACAGCCACTACCAGGACGGGATACAAGACACGTGGAGCTTCGACTTTGGTTCTATTGCTGGCCAGGGAGAGAAAATACACCGCCTCGTGGTCCCTTGTGACAGTGTGGGCAGAGAGAGTTGCTACGTCTTGGCTCTCAAGGTCATGGCAGGTTTTACCCAACAGTTTGCCCGGCTCTGATTCGTGCGCATTTGCCTCGTGGCGCATCGATTGCTCCAGATTGGATATGTCTCGCGTGCAACTCCACAAACACCCGGCCAATAATGAATACCACTCGGCAAGGATGGCCCGTCTTGCATCACCAACTCCGAGTCCGACTTGATGTCCCGGTGCTATCTTCGCGGAACGTTGAGTCAGGCTCACATGCTGCTCTCCGCGTGCGAGACGCTATGTGACCTTGACCGTCGCTAGTTGCAGGAAATGCAAGCTTCGGGTGTTGTCGCCATCGACTTTGGACGTAACTGTACTGTCTTTCGAGTATATAAATTAATAGGCGCATGACCAAACATTTCCCGCAAATGCTTTCACTCAGCGTATCATGGGTATGCTTGCTTAGCCCGTGCCATCATGTTTCGACTTCTCCGGA